ATTAAGTAATGATTGAAAGTAATAATAAAAGCTCTCCCAGTCATGTTCTTTCCATAAGTCTATGAAATACTGAAGTTGAGTAGTATTAAAAACACAGGGGTGGTGAACGTGCCCAAAACTGCATAGTAGCACAAGTGGAGCACACGTGTTAGCACAAAGAGAAGAAAATTCACATATATTCAGACAAACAGGCACCAGTAGTTATGGAATAGGATATCTGTGCCTTTACAACAAAGTATGGTGGTATTTTGCTGTTTTTATATTAACTAGCTGCATGATGTGAATTAATGGATATCTTTGGAGGCGGGAGAACAATTACTTTTATAGAAGATCTATCTCTAGGACAGGGGTCTTAGTTTGAATTAATATCTGTTTGGGGTTTCTTGTTTCTTTAATAGGTCAATTTTCCTAATCTTGTAGTCTCAAACTAGGAGCTATGTCACATCTACTTAATAAATTTGCCAGTGTGTCAAAGGCATTTTTCAGAGATGAGTGAAAATGGAAGTGGATTCACTGATGTTACAACAGCAGCAAATTTGTCTCAAGGCAATAGTAAGGAAATATTTCCAGAAGTAGAATCTTATCTCTGATGATTTTGCTCTGGTTTAATCTACCAGAAGAGCAGTTTGCTCTGCTGTTTGGCTCTGAAAGCAGAATCTCTCTTAGAACAGTTATTTGATCCTCTGACATGAAAAGTTTCCCGATTTAAGTAATGGAGGCAGGTGTTAATGTGCTGAGACTTTTATCATGCAAAGGAAAAGACATTAAATCTTCATTGTTGAAATAATAAGCAGATGCAGTCACCTTACAGTCAAAGACTTAGTGCATGTTGTTAGATGAATCACCTTCTTAATATGAAAATGATGGAAGTCTTAGAAAAATAACTTAAATGTATAGTATCAGAAAAATAATATATCTTCCAAGCACCCACAAGATAACCCCTTTCCTGTTATGTCTATTTTATGTCTTTCTTCCTTCCTTTAAGAGTGAAATTGAACAAATAAATATGTTTTCTTTTTTCCTTGTCAAGCTGTTGGCTATGTTTAATCATATTATGTAAATCCTCTTTAAAAGTTTCAAATCAGTTTTACAATGTGTTGTTCAAATACAACAAATAAAAATAAAAAAACATTTTGTTTTTAGATTAAAGTAGCTCTGCATAGACCCTAATGAAAATTAACAAGGCTATTTGTTTTTAATATAATCATCACACACATCCACCTCTCTTCACAGCATCCTCATCAGTTCTCACTTCTTCCATTCAGAGAGGCTTCTTGTGTTGCAAGCTGAATTTACCAGCTCTCCTAGTAGTGCTAGATAAAAGTAGTGCTAGATAACATTTTGCTGACATTCCAACAATGGTTTCCATTACACATTTCAGTCTGCTTTCAGAAGAGGCTCTTAACGGGGAAAGACATACTTCTAAGTGCAAATGCTCTGCAGAATGTAACATACACCAGTGCAGGTGTCAAGGATCAAAGTTGTGTTGTGCTGATGCAACAGTACCCATGGTAGGACTTGACATTCACACCACTGTGTAGCAAGGTTTCTTTTGTAGCTCATGTAAAAAACATGACTCTTCTTCATGTCTGTAGTAAAGCAGTAAGAGAAGGTAACCAATAACTGATGATGTTTTTTTCTGTGAATCACTGTATTACAATGATTTATTAATTAACTATATGTATAGTTTTAGAAAAACTTCTTGCAGTATACAGAATTGTCCTTGACTTTCAACTTCCATGACTTAATTCTATATTAAAGCAAATTTCCTGCTTTTTTAATATATTTTCACATAGCTAGCACAGTGTTTGAAGTACTCAAACTATAGAAAATGTGCAAAGTTACACTTGTTAATAGGTTTTAAGACCCGCATAAACAGTGGTTTGGATCAACTCTGTAGCCCAGCCACTCCCTTATTCTTCCAGCTGGTGTGCCACTTGTGTTTGGTGAACCTGTGGAAGGACATTCTGATATCCTTGACCATGACGCCTGTCAGATTACAGTCAGTCGCTTTATCTACATGGGCAGCTTTGTTGGAAGTGGCAGATCTGTCCTTTGCTGCCTCCTGGGGATAGGGCAGGGAGAGGGAAACCTGTCTCCCCAACAGGCAGCTCCTGGCAGAGAGGCCTGGCATTGACATTACAGGTTCTGGTAGGGGGGGGTCTCCAAACTGGACACCAGCTTTCACAGCTGCCACAGATGAAATAAAGTGACTAGATTCTAGATCTACAACATGTGAGTCTTCTTGCACTTGCTATCCAGAGGCTAAATTTGATGCAATTCTTGGGGGAGAAAGAAGGGGAAGGCAATTGAAAAACCCTACCAAACCCACTCAGAATATATTTTAGTTTAAATATGCATCTGATGAAGAATTGAATGATAATATTGGGCTGGACTTAAAACTGCTCAGAATAAGGAATGCTGTACTATCCCACTTTTACACTTTATATATTAAAAAGCCTGTTTTATTGTTTTGAAGTATCTAATACTGACTTGATATTCACGCCTAACTAAAGGGTATGCACAGCAGAAATGTTAGAACTGCTGAGCATTGGAAGGTCCAGAATGCTTATACCCTGCTTGATTGCATCAGTTTTAGTTTTCCAACTGAACTTTCCCTGATAGCTCCAAAGCCTTTATTTATTGTAGGAAGCATCTTGTGTGTCTAGACATGTGTACTGGTGTGAATACTACTGCCTGGAATACTAGACCAGTTCCAGGAAATAAGTCTGCCTGGGGCAGCCATCCAGATTTCTTTACACCCAGTGCTCTGGGACACAGTATTTGGCTGCTAATGAAATTATCATCATGAACCAATTCCACCAGAGGACCAAGGTGCTGAGATGTTCTGTTGCAGTTTCAGTGAGGTCCAAAATGAAAAGGAATATTGGTCTGTTCTGGATGTGTGCACAGAGTAAAGCAGAAGGTCTCACTGACCTGATTTATCTACTTGTACTTACTCCCGACCAGTGGCAGACACTGTGCTGGAAGAGTAAAAGCTACATAAAATCATAGTTTATTTTTTGAAACACCAGCTTAATTTGATATGTGTTGCAAACTGAAGTAATCACTGTAAGTGATATGCAACTATTAATGTGTTCACATTGCACAGAACACACAGATGCAGGTGAAAATAGCATTTCATACTTTTCTGCAACAGTGTTTCATAAATATGTAGGGGGAAAGAAGATTTTCAGTTTGCTCAAACAAATAATTTCTGAAAGAGGTGCTAACAACTGTACTATATCTGATATTAATAATATTGCTTAAAATTGTAACAGTGCAAGTAAATTAAATATTAAGTTAAAAGAAATAAAAATGTTTGAGGACAGGATTTGTATTGCAGCACACTGTTAAGATTCAAATCCTACTGTACACATTTTGTTGGAAGTCTAATGCTTTTTGTAATCAGGAATGTTTTTACATAATATAGAGTGAGTATTTTCTAACACCTTACATTACCTCAAAATCTATTTGATAATCTTTAACAGGTCAGTGCAGAGATTTAAGTTTTTTTCTGTATTATGAATATTCTGTTCAAATGACTGACTGTAGTTCTACCACATTAGGCAAAATTGTGAGAAATGAAAATAATAGATGTGATTTTCCTCTTGTCTCTACTTTCAAATATGGATACAATCAACTGAATTTATGAATTCAGAAATAAGATTTTTAATAAGTATGCATAAACACTAATTGATCAGAACATTTTCAAGTTATCCAAAAAATCTGATTAAATTACCATATTATATGCAATAATCATACCTGGTCATTCCAAAAATGTGATATAGATTATTAATTATGTTAATATTTCACAATTTTCCTGTCCTTTTCATCCTGCATGATACACTCATGGTGATTGCTGTATGTAAATTCCTAGCACAGCTGCACTGAAGGTGATTCAGTTGTTTCACTGACCTCAGTAATAACTTCATCAGGCCTTCGCCTTCTCTGATCTTCTCTTCATCACATTGAAGGATTTAGCAGCCATTCACCATAATAGCAATTCTCTAGAACTGATGTGAGGTTTCTTGTGTATCTGTGCTGGTGCTAATCCTGTCCTATCTATCTATCTATCTATCTATCTATCTATCTATCTATCTATCGATATATACTCTCAGAAGCTGCTTTTTATTATTTTCACAAGCAGTACATGATTTTTAGGTGCAATCTTGAAAAAGAAATCTTTCTTTAAGCATGAAAAATATTATAATAATCTTAGAATCATTTAGGTTAAAAAAGATCATCAAGCCCAAATATTACTGACAGAATTTCTTTTTCTTTAAATGTTTGATGTGACCATTTTAAAAATTCCTTTCATTTTAGGAGATTTTAGGTTCTGGAGGTTAGTGTTTTATTCAGTAAATCCTTGCAAAATGCCAGACTGGAATGGATGTCAGAAAGGCTCCTTTTCTGGTCAGTATCATGGATACAACTAAGGATGTGTGAAAAAGATGGCATCACAATACAGTCTAAGAAACACTAACAAACCCAGTTAAATTGCTGCATGTAGAATAGAATTAACCTTGTACAGTGAATAAGTCTTCAGAGAAGACTTGTTCACAAATACCAACATCATGGGATTTGCATTCACTGTTGTGGTTTTAACAGCTGATGCACATTAAATTTACGGTAAAGCTGCGAGTTGTTTGGTGGGAGATGAGGACTTGCCAAGTTCTGTGAATCATGGTATTCAGGTTATCTTTATGCATATACTTGGGCTTTACCATCACAGTTCCATTCTCTTATGGGTGTGATGTAGCCATATTGGAAGTCTCTGACTGATGCAGTATAGAAGTATTAACAGAGTCCATAATGTGCGAAATGCTTGAACTTGCAATAATATAAATATGGCTTGCTCCAAAATATTGTCAGTATCCAATTAGATTACATGCAATGATGCAAATGGTGCTATTAGTCTTGCGTGTTTTCCCTGTACTTCTCCGTCATCCTTTATTGCTGTATCTTCTGAATTCTCCCTTCATTTTCTTTCAACAAAGGCAAGTATGCCATGAGGGATCTGGTCCACCGACTGCCAGGCGCTAACAACAGCAACAGCTCAGCAAGCAAGGCCATGTCTGATGACACCGTTACTGCCATTTGCTGCACTCTGCATGAAGTCATCACTAAAAATATGGAGAATGCCAAGGCCTTACGAGACGCAGGCGGCATTGAGAAACTGGTTGGCATATCTAAGAGTAAAGGAGACAAGTATGTTTTGCAAATCACCTTGCATCTTTTTAACTTCTCCAGTAGTTATTACTAGTCTTGAATGTGTTTGCCTTCTCTGTGCAATTGCGAGTTGAATCCTTTAGTTTGCTCAGAAATCACATGCCCAGTGTGAAGGGTGACAAGAAACAGACAATGCCAATACCAAAAGCCTCCCTCTGTTTTGGTTTATTTTTGATGTGCCATCAGTAATGCAGGGAGTGCATTCCATGTGCATTTTAAGGAAGAGTAATTATCTACAGTAACCCCTACCTCTAAGCAATTGCAGAAGATCCTGATAAATGTTAGTGATCAGAGTAGTTGGATTGCACCCTGCACAAGATTTGACAGGCAGGTGGAGGGCCCTTGGAAAGGAAGGACCTCACCACAGTTCTGGCACAACTCTTCTTGATCTAGGAGTGAAGAATGTAAAATCACTGTCCCTCTTCACAGCACCCTTTTCCCTGCAACCAGCTTGGTGATAGATCTGTGGATTTTTCTGACTCGTTGCTTCTGAGAGAGCCGTTGGGCTGCTTTGTGAGGCAGACAATGTCTTGCACACAACATTGTGACATTTTCAGAACAGCTATGGTTTCATCTTGTCTGTTTGACTATGTACACACTCTTCATGAGGAGTTCACGCTTTATCCTTCTTTTGCCTAAAACAGATAGCCTGGTTCTCATATTTGTCAACCTGATGAAGTATAGTGCAATGGGACTATGGCAGTTTGAAAACAAATAGCCTTCACTCTAGTGTACAAAACCCATCAGTCCACCAACTCGGAGCTGTCACCACACAGCCTACTGCAGCATCAGATCTCTTAAAGAGCCCCACAAAGCCAGGCCACAACCTGAAGGAAAGATTTATGCACCCTACATTTGGTATGAGAACTTATGCTCACCTATGTGATCAGAGCATTGCCAATATAATTTAATGACATTTCTTTTTCTCTATTGTCACCCCTTTCCTTTCATACCAGATTCATTATTGAAACATTTTTGCATTCAAATTGCAAAGGGTAAAAAGTAGTGTTACCAAGTATGTGATTCCAGTTGTGGGACCTCCCCATACACTGCCAATTTATTTATATTTGCATTTTGTTATTATTAAACCTACCTAAATTTTTTATTTGTATTTTTAAAATCAAATGTACTGACATTGTAAGCAGGTTCCTATCCATTTCTCTTAAGCTGAATGTGTGTTTCCTCAGAATAATGCATTAATCTACCTGTTCATTATCTGGCAAAGAATATTAATACCTGTTGAGTCTGGAATTTTTGAAGTATCATGGGCAGTTTTAGGAGGATCCAAGGGTATTATTCCCTGTCTGAATATCCCACATAACTGTGAAAGACATCTATTTCTAATTAATGTAGAGCAGAGTAATTCCAACATGCCCTTCCAAGTCGTGATACGTATCCCTCCTCTCAAGTACTTTGACCTGCAGTCCCATGTTATTATTTTTGCAGGTTATGTAGTTCTAGAACAAGAAAACCTGCTAACACACAGTGCTGCAAATGCCCATATTAAGTAAAAGTTCCATTTTTCAGCTTTCAGAAACTGTGCTGTTAGTTTGGTTTGGTTTCTTACAGGTAATTCATTGTTAGAAAACCAAAATTGCTGGTTGTTGAACTGATAGAAAATTCTGATATGCTCACTTTAATTCAGTAAATCACTTCTGTATGAAATCATTTTGTCCAGTATGAAGCAACTGCTACTGAATGTTCAGGATACTGAACTGGCCATGCATCCTGGTATGTATCAGTGCTACTAGTGTGGGGCTGGCCCTGATAGTCTTTGGAATATGCCCAGGGCTTGAATGGTCTCCCTGTAAGAGAGAACTGGTGTCCATAAGGTTATTTATATTGGCTAGGCCCATATCAGCTTCACATAGCTCCTGCCTCTCCTAAGTACTCATGGAGTAGTTGGCACATTTATTTTCCTGGTTACTCCATGCTTACCAGCACCCCATTAGCCAGTACAGCTGGAAGCGTAATAAAAACAATCATGCTTGAAAGAGCTTATCAAAATCCTGTTTACTCACCAATTACCCACCTACTGCTGTACTCTGGATGAGAAATGGAATCGAAGTGGAAAAAAAGCACCAAATAAATTACTAGGTAAATGTTGTATTAATGAATCAGTTGTGTCATAACAACGCTTTACCGGTTTGCATGTCAGCCAACCAGTGATCCTTCTCAGAAGTCACAGAATGGAACAAAGCCTGGCCCCTGCCCAAAGCAGTAACTTAAGTAGATGCTGGTTTTCTGGTTTCTCTTTGATGTTTCAAAGCACATGCCTCTTCTGAGCAAAACATAAATCACCTCAGTGACTGCCCTTCACTCTGAACTTTGGCCTTTGCAAGGTTTTCTAGCATTCTACTGCTTTATATGTATTTTTGATCCTGCACAGTGTATGTGTCCTTAATGGGCTGTGTTATCTTCCTGGTCATTTTCTATTTGACCCTTCCTCACTGAGATGAGTACTCTCTGATGTAGATTTTTTAAATTACCTATTCTAGCAGGAATATATGACACCAACTGATTGTAACAATAGCTTAGACTTTATTTCAAAACTTGTCTGAAGAGAAAGACTATGTGAAATTACATGTTTTTCAACACAATATTTTATTGTTGTCATTAAAGGAAAATGGTGTGAGCAAAATCCTAGTCCACATTTGGATTCCTAATTAAATTTATCATAACTTTTTGTAATCAGTTGTAATTCTGCATCTTGGCTCTACATTTCAAAACCAGTGCTCATCACTCATCTAGAGTTTCTTTTGGCCACTGCTGAGGGGAGCTTAATGAGTTGAGCACACTGTCCTGAGCTGGAGTTCAGCAACTTGCAGAGAAAGAATTCTGCTCTGATTCCTTGTCCTTTATGCCAAAAGTTGTAGCATATCTTAGATGTATATAATGCCAGCCAGGTCCTCAACAATTTTGCCAATTGCTACCTCCTATTCTTCATACTGTGTGCTCAGCAGAAATCCCTGTGTATATGGAGATGCACAAGTTTTTCCCCTCACTGATTGATTAGTACTGTAGAAATAAGATATATTGCCCCTGCTTAAAAACACATTGATCTCCAAGATGCCAAGCAAAGATTTTATGGTTTACTTGAAACACACTTTATTTGTGGTTTAAATCTTTAGCAAAGCATTTGAAAATTGGTATGAATGGTGTCCTTTACTTAACAGTCTCTTTCTCACTTTTTTTCTCTCTCTCCCTTTTTAATGTATGTGTGTAACAGGCATTCGCCTAAAGTGGTGAAAGCAGCATCTCAGGTCCTCAATAGTATGTGGCAGTACAGAGACCTGAGAAGTCTCTACAAGAAGGTAAGGCTTGGGTTTTTTCTAGATTTGTCATCTTTCATACTGTTATTCAAATTTGGGGGCTGAGAGACTTCAGACCAAAATATTTGTTTATGTGACTGGAAATTCAGTTGGAGTTTAAAGTTTCAGATACTTGGAGTTCTTATTTTTTCCTTAATGTCTACCTTTAACATTAAAATGTCCTTTGAAAATATGTGTGGTGATGAAAAGGGGGTGTGAATTTGATTTTAAAATAAATTAGTACAAAAGGTGCTGGATCTGACAGCCCTGGAGACTGAAATCCTCTGTTCATAGAACAAATGTATGTAAGCTCTTCTACTGAAATGGTCCTTCTTACACCTCCTCACCTTTTTCTGAGATTACCAGATTTCCAGCCCTTCAGCTCCCAAATTTCCTCATGAGATTGTAAACAAGAGTATCTGAAGGATTGGTGCTTAGGGACCAGCTACATATGGAGCTGGGATGAAACCTGTTAGCTTTGTTTCTAACCAGCCAGCAGACAGTGCCATCATATATTTGGTTTTCAGAGAGTTTGTTGAGTCCATAGTGCCATGCCATTCCCATAGGCCTGCTAACCTCTTGAAAATAAATTGCAGTAGAGTAATGTAACGCTATAATGTGAAAAAACATTCTATATAGCTTTTTAAACATAAGTCTGTTTAGTAAATTAAAACATTTACAGTAATTCTTGCTGAATATTTCCAAACTGAATTACATTCCATGTGACTATCAGCCTGCAGATTTAGTTCTTCAGTGTCTTCTTGCTTTGTATTTGGAATCTCATCAGAGAGAACTAAGACTTCATGTGGCTTCTTCAGTTCAGGCCCTAGGTAAGGTTGAAGCATAAGGATGGTGAGGTAGGGAAAGTTTACAGTGGTGTGGTCTGCACAAGAAAATAGCTTAGTTACATGAAATGTATGCACCAAATCTCTAGCTGACAGCTGATGACCTTCTGTGTGAAATGCTTTTCCTTTGCATGCCTCAGCCCTGCTTGTGTCAAATCTGAGGAGTGAGGAAGATGATTATTGAGTCTCTCCCATTGTTCACTTCCAGTATTTTCAGTCATCCTTGGCAGCCCTAGGGATATCATGTGTGAGGACATTCCAACTAACAAGCTAATCCTCGACTGTCCCATTAAGAGGTGGGACCAAACATGAGTTAGAGTAGGCTTCTCTTGATCCAAGGCAGTAACACAATGGAAGTGTGGAAACCCTGACTTCTGTGCATGTGGATGGCTGCACTGTAGAGGCTGAACTGTCCTGCATCATAATCTCTTAGAGATTCTTACAATATCTGGCTCATGTTCAACCTTCTGTCTGTATATATATATATATATATACTGTGATGGAAAAACAGTTTCTGGGGTTGCTCCATGCAGGAGGTAATAATGTTTGTGCTGTGTGGCTGCTGAGTTTAATGCTACCTAAGGGACACTGTTGGCTGTTGGTGTGACTGCTGGTGGTGGACTTACTAAGCATGTTTAGATACTAAGTGACCTTGCATGCTTACAAGAGCAAATTTTCCATGGCCACAAATACATACTTGTGATATGGAAAATAGGACAGGCTAGCTTTAGAGGTAGCTTCCAGGACACTCATAGCAGACAGATCATCTATATTATCAGGAAGAGAATTGTATTATTTTCTATATTACTTAATTCCTACACAAAATCTTAAAATGAAGGTCAGTTTCTGCTACATATTTGTATACTAATTACGTGCCATTATATGCCCTGTTAAGCCTTGTATAAATATGATTTCTTCTAATCAAAATGTTCAGACAGTTAATTTTAAATGCTCTTTTTTGTTGAAATATATATTATAAGCTTTATAAAATTATAATATTTATTAAACTTGTCTGTAATAGGCTGATTCTTACGCTGGCTGTCTGAGTTTAGCAACTGTTTGGAAGGCAATGGCAATGGTTTTATGACAGGAAAATTAGAGAAGTTTGCATCATACTATGTATATTATAGTATACTACACTAGCATACTTATGTAATATAAAGATATTGAATCAATGCAAGCTTTGTTTTGTCCCATTAAAATATATATGTACCAGTAAAAATGAGCAGACATACAGTGTAATATGATCAACATTTTGCAGTATCTTGCACTTGCATAGCCTTTTTTTGAAGTGAAGGTAAATCCCATTGCATAACCATTAGCAATTTGTTCCCATTTACTGAAGTAGCTATACAATTGCTTTCAAAGAATTGGCCAGCAGACACAACTTTGTATTGTAATACATGAAAATTGCAAGTATCTTACTACAGTTAAGTGAAAGCAGCAGCACTTATCTTCTGTTTGAGAAACAATGTAACCAAATAGTTTGAATTGTGGTATATTTTAGAGCTACACATTCACAGTAAGGTAAGAAATTGTAAAAATAAAAGAAGTACTATTCTTTGTATTAGTCAGCAAAGAAGGCAATACTTGTTTACTGCTGATACAGTAGCAGTCAGTATATTTACTCCAAGTATGACTCGATCAGCAAAAACACTAAAAACTCTTTAATTGTTCTAATTTTGCTCCACATTACAAGGAACATGCTACAGCTGGCAAAAGATAAACTGCACTGACAGAAATCCAGAGCTGGGGATTGGTGCGAATGATCTTTAAGTCCACAATATCTTATGAACTGTGTTTGCCACAGCCTGTACCCTCCACTGGCAGGTTCTATCCAGTGTCCAGGGATTTCCAGGTCATACCTGTGTTGTGGCTTTAGTGGCACACACGGAGTCGTTAGGCTGGTCTGGTGTGGAGAAGACATAGAAAGTAAACAGCATTCAGATCTGTGAGTAAGGCAATAGTGTTAGATAGTCCTCTGTAGGCTTGTGCTTTGAGGGAAAAAGATCAGCTTTGCTCCCTGGTGTGGTTAAGTTGGCACTATCCTAACACAGTCCAACAAGGAAAAGTTGTAAAATGCATCAACAATATTTCTGTTGCTAAAACTGTAGAACAGAAAGAAGACTTGACAGACAAAGAGGAAACAATTAATTTAGTCTTGAAATGAAGGAGTTGCCAGCCACCCCAAAAGTTGCAGGTCCTTCATCATGCAAGAGCTCATAGGAAATACTGCTTAATTTACAAGCAATAGCTGGTACAGAAATCTTGGCTGAAAAAGGCCACCAAGAAGAAAACGATGTTCAGGTTCAGTCACATATAGACAGTGATTAGATTATGTAGTGTGATTAATTTCTAGCAAGGAAGTGATCATATTTTTCATCAGTAGAGGAAATATGGTCTCTCAAATATCATTTTCAAACTTCTTTGTTTTCTACAAGCAAGACATATGTTCATAAATGATCATTTATCTGTTTTTGTTTTCATGAGTCTGTTCCAAATTACTTAAAATCTGATTTTCAAACATCCTTAATGGTCCCATGGCCCAGAGTCCCATGAGTGGATCAGTGGCTCAATGCTTCAGAAAAACAAGGTACAGGAGCTATCCTACATTTTGTTCCTATGCTTCAAACTCCTATTCAAGTGTCTTGAAGACACCTCTCCTCTTCAAGTATCTCAGCAACCTGTATTATAGAGTTAGCAAGATAAATAAGTGCTGCTTACAGTGTCCAAAAAGAGAGATCCTGCCCCAGTTATGCTTAGCCTCTTAAGCAAGGTGCAAGGAGCTACTACATGGGTTCTTTAAAGGCACCTATTTTTGACTGAGTATCACTGTCCCCCACTCCAGTCTCTAGGGTATTCACTGGTTGAAGATTTGGGGACACCTGAGAAAATACAGATGTGACTATAAGAGAGAAAATTTCCATTAGCTTGTAAACTCTATGTCAATATTCAAGAAAATAACCAACTACTCTTAAATACAGATAGCTTGTTAAATTACATGAGGAAATTTGAGCAAAAGGGTTGTGCTAAATGAGCTTTACATGAAAGAAAATTCATTAGCTAAAAACCAAGCTTCAATTAGCATTAAATGTGTGTAGTATTAAAGAGCTAGAGGAACTGCCAGGAAGAATATGTTTTCTATTAATTGGTTTGCTTTGCCTAACCACTTAGGCTCCAACAAAATATGTTTACATTCTATCATTATGTTTACACTTAACTCTGTCATTCAGTGTGTAAGTAGAGGTCACGATGGATTTGTAGAAAATATTTTTCTTTCCTATTTATTGTGGTAGGTTTCTGTTCTGCATGGAATATTATAAATGTTTGTCCCATTTGCCTGCCATCTGAATAAAAATATCAGATGGATATCAGCACTGGAAATCAGGGAGACTGTTGAGGGCAGTCGTCCTTCACCATGTATTGTGCCATTTATAGTAGGAATACTTCTGTGGTAGGCATTTAATGGAGTCACTCTGAAGATAGCATCATCTGTCATTGGTTGGGAAAATACATAGAATTGCCTGAAGACTTTGAAGCAGTTAAGGCAGTGTGGATATAGAGAAAGACTTGCTTTTCATATGACTTTCAGAATAATAAAAATATGACTTTATGAGTTCGTTGAAAATTGACGACATTAAACTTCAAAACCCTAGTCTCAAGGACTTCTAGAATCTAAAGTCTTTTCTTAAATAAAATATACTTACTCACCTTTTGAAAATGTTACTTACAGCATCCTATCCTGTAGACTTGGGACACATCATTTGGATTTTCTTTTGGTAAGGTTATTATTATCAATCAGACATCCCCCAAAAGGAAGCTGGTTTGTGTTAAATTTACCAACTGAAAAAGTCTGTGCAGAACTTAAACCCTACATTAAAGATCTAAATCCAGAGCATAATAATTCCTCAAAAATAGTGGTTTGATTTGAAGGAACTGTTCATGTGTTCAGTTGTTCATGAGCATATCTACTTTGCAGTGCTGATCTTTCAGCAGGCTTCATTTATTTCTGTACAGTTGGCAAAAGCTTTTGCAAATTAATATGTCACCATCTTAGAAAAAGGATTAATTAATTTAAGATAAACCCCCTTCTGTAATACAAAGCGTATCATTCATTATAAAAAAGGCATTGTCTAAAGCCCATTTTTATATTAACTA